CTGTTTATACTGTAAACTGCCATAAAATAAAAACTATAATAGCTAGAGCGGTCTTTTTTTAGCTGAAAGTTGAGACTGTCTCGCCTTTCAGCACTGTACAAGTCGATGATGTCATCATGTTGCGTTAAGTGTGCTGCACACCGCGGCTATGTTAACTCACAGTGACCTTGAAGCAGCGTGGGAGAGTTGAAGAATTTAACCAGTTAAAATGGATTCATGGATATTTAATCAATAGTTGTGGCTCCTCTGGTCATTTAGTTCTTTGTGTGCCGGAGACATTTGCTGAATAAGGAAATAAAAACTTAAAATGACAAAAAAATTAGGGAAAAACACTTGTTTTGTATTTTATCAATTATTAATGATGAATAGATTGTTGGTATTTTAACTTTTGGTAAAGGAAAACACACAATTTCCAGGCAGCCCCAGTCTGGAGAAGTGATGGTGACATCAGCCGTTGAAAATAAATAATACTCTGAGGTTTTTATGAATAATTTGTACTTTTACTTGAGTATTTCTCTAACACCAGTACTTTTACTTGTAAATGAGTAATATTTTAGCAATGTAACAGTACTTGTACTTGAGTACAGATTTTCAGAATTCTTTCCACCACTGCTGAAAACTGTAAATGCTCATTGTAACATGTTAATTAAAATGCTAAAGCTACAGACGTGACATGAAGATTGTATTGTTTGTTTTATGCAACATCAGGAGCCCTACACAGATATTTTGGGATGACATCAGCTGCCACTGAGGAACAGCCATCTACCTCCACTGCTCATACCAGTAGGCCAGTATTTGAACTCGAGGAGGGACAGTCTGCTGGCACCACATCTCCCCAGGAAGATACTTTAGGTGGGTTTTGCACACGTGTGTGTGTCCAGCAAACATTTAGCTATAGACATTTAAATAGTATTTTCACAGAATATGGGAATTGTTCCATATAGCAATGTGGTGAGTTATGCTTCCATTTTCCGTCAATAGAGAGACCTACCAGTATATGTGAACTTGATGAGGGACAGCCAGCTGCCACGTCTCCCCAACAAGATATGTCAGGTAAGTTTTGCACAATTGTGTGTGTGTGTGTGTGTGTGTGTGTGTGTGTCCTGCAAACATTAGAGAAATTTGAATGTCACATATTGTATTTTAATAGAATATGTGAAATGGTCCACATAGCAATGTGTTGAGTTACGCTTCTGTTTTCTGTCAATAAAGAAGCCTGAACGATCAACCAATGAGTCCCATTGAAGGTGATGATGAGCCTCTTTCTTCAGACCCAGCCAAGTGGCCATCACCAATAACCGACAACATACGCACAGAGCTAGTTCGAAGAGGACCTACTAAGGTGCCAACTACTTTCATATTTCCCAGGAATGAAGGCGATGGCAGGTGTCATCATCACTCTTTCAGTAGAACTTTGACAAGTGGTGAGAAGGTGGCCAGGAGCTGGATGTTGTATTCAGTTAGCAAACGTTGTTATATATAATACACTCCACGCCATTTGAAACAAAGTTGTAGGTGTAATTTTTTTTCTTGTGTGTGTGTGTGTGTGTGGGGGGGGGGGGGGGGGGGGGGGGGGGGGGCTCACGGGGGATCTCGCACAGGGCGCCATTTAGGCCAGCTCTGCCTCTGAGTTAGGGTTACATAAAATTTTAAAGTTGGATAACTTTGCATGAATATGTATATACGTCTCTAGTGATATAATTAATAATGCTCCTGAGTGACATACTTAGTGACGGACTAAATAACAATGCTTCAACCTTCCCAGCATCAAAAACAATCTATACATTTTTACTGATTGATATATATAATTATCATTATGTGGAAAAACAATGTTTATCACCAAAAATAGCCTTTTTATATTCCTTTGTAATAGTACTGATAGAGAAGAGAGCCTTAAAGACTAACATTTCATGTTCTACCACCAGATGTTTGGATCAAAATATGAACCAATCAGATCTTAGATCAGGTGAGAGCCAGGTGTTTCCCGTCATCCCCTAGGTTTTGCAGCCGAGGGGGAGCAACTTCAGCGCCTTGATCTCACGAGGAGATCGTTGCCTATGTATGCATGACGTCAGAGCAAGTCGGACACAAAGCTAACTGGCATGCACTGCTCGCCGGTCACTGCTGATCCAATCTGCCCAGAACTGGCTCATCTCGAACACGGCCATAGTCTCTGTGGTGTTTATAAATCTGCCAACTTTGATTCAACCAGAAATCAAAACCAGTCCCACACCATCTTAGTTCAGTTCTCACGATCTCACTGGAGTTCTCTGCAGTTTACTGCATGTGTTGAGAAGCAACATGTTTTCTTTAACTAAAGAGTGTTCATGCAGGACTGTAATGTAATCTGTGTTAAACATGAATTTGTTTGTTATCCATATAACACTTCTCAACATTCATCCTGGCTTTTAAAGGTGCTCCGGCTGACACTCCAGGATGGTGACAGTTAGAAAGCACCTTCCAATCCCATACAGTCCACCCAACAAGCTCCAACAAGCCATCTTCCCAACACCCACAATGTCACTAGGCACTTTCCCGAAATAACAGCGTTACTAAAAAATTATTTTTTTCAGTAACAAGTAATCTAATTACAGTCTTATCATTACACCATTTCCGTTACTGATAAGGAAATGCGTGCGTTACTAATTCGGCAGTGCTGTGTTGAAGCCATCATCAGCTGATCGGGAGTGTAGGGTTAACTACATACGAGAATCAACACTGTTGCTATTCAGTTGTAGATTCTGAAAGTGACCAAGCAGATTAACCTTTGAGGCTTATATCGTGTATAAATATCCCTGATACTTATATAATCGATCTAAGTTCATAGCCCAACCTGTTTGGTCTATCTTTAATCCGAAGATTAAAATTTAGTTTAAGGTAATTAAATTTTATAGCAAAAGTTTATTTTTGAATCAGAAGCTAGGAATCTCTGCTTTTCAATGACCAGAAGTATTATACCTTTGTGTGATTCATTTCATTAATGAGGCAAGTTTAAAAATGAAGATTTTTTATTACTAACAATTTTAAACTTTATGATTTGAACGACAATTATAAATGACAATTCATGGATGACAATTCAATGACAATTTTTAACAGCTCTGATAATAAACTTGTATTAAAAGGCAAACCTTTGGCTGGATGGAAGCTAAATTGGAAATACGAGTTTGGATGCGTGAATGGAGTTCTCCGAAGGTTTCTTTCAGAGAGAGGAAAGCGTTCTGAGCTGGAAATGATGTTTTGCAGCTACCTGAGTTGTTTACTTAGAGAAAACAGCATCAAACACATTCCTGTGTGCTACCTCACCCAAACAGGAGACCCTCTTTGTGGATCCAGAGATCAGGGAGGATGGTGTCCACCTCTTGGCACTCGGTCTGGCAGAGAAGATGCGAGTGAACCGATCCTCTGGTCCAGAGATGTCGCCGGGTACACAGTGTCGAGCGTTTGGCTTACACTGAAGGAGTTTCTCGTCTTAACTTAACTCAGAAATCAATAGCTCTGGAAGGAGTTTTTTCATCAGCTGGTTACATTTTACGTTTATTCTTAGCTATTCTTATCGGCGTGACAGAACACCTTGGCAGAGGAGAAGAGCGGCCGACTCGTCTCCTCAGGATGGTGTTGGTTCAAGAACTGATGTGAGAGCTGTTGCACGTTAGTTTACAAAGTACTCAGAACACACCCACTCTCAGCAAGAAAGCTTTGGTCATGCGTCAAAAACACGTGTTGGCAGTTATTGTTTACTCTGGATGAACTCTGTGTTAGATGGATAAGGTGGAAGCTGGCCTTCTCTGCTGAGCACATTACTGTCATCAACCATAATCATAATTATAGTAATCGTTATTATACCCAAAGCATAAAAATTCATTTCAGTAATTAAAATACATTTATACTGAACCAAGTGATTATTTATGATGATTATAATAAACAGTAATAAAGTCAAAGAGTTTATTAATATTATTATTTAATTATTATCGTGAACTTGAAGTGTCCTTCTTCTGGGATGGAACAGCAGCAGACATGGTGATATTCAGCAGACATCATGACTCCTGGGTTAATCTGTGGACTTAGAAGTTACAGCCTGACCCAGCTTGACCCAGCTGGGTAAATGTGACCTTTTCCACAAATCAGAGAACCTCGATGACGCTACAGGAGCTAAACAGGCGGATGTTTTCATCCAAGAGCATCACGGCTGTGAAGAACGAGGAAGATGTGACGTAACTGTCTTCCATTTCCCAGCAAAATCTTTGTTTAAAACTGCAAAATATGTTAAATGTTATAATTGTTATTATTACTGTTACCATAAATATTAAGATTATGTCTAAAAAATAACAGATTTTACCTCAAAATATTCACAATTTCTTGTCCTTGTTTTCCTTGTTTGAATATGGCAGATGTGATTTTCATGGTAAGATTTAACCAACTTTATTGAGTTTAACATTTACAACACACGTGTCCTTATTTAGCACAACTAGTCGACCTGGTGATGTGAGAGTTTCATAAACCTAGCACTGTTAGCTTTAGAGATCTGACCGTAAACACGAGAAGCGACGAGCAGTCTTCTGGTTCTGCAGACACACCAGTGTTCGGCGCCTTATAGCACCGCCCTGATTGGTGGAATGGCGCCAACCATGACTAGCTTGATCTCTGATGATTGTTTGGCTGAAAGCCCATAACTCTAAGAGTTTGTGAAAAGTCACACGACATCATTTACGATGTGAGTGGAAGTGTCTGAATATGGACGTTGGCCCTGTAAAGGGTTAACGGCAGTCTGTCGTGTGTTAGGGGGGGTGACATATTTAGATCATCCACCACTCAGTCACCTTCTGTAAGCACTTCCTGGTGTCCTGTCACCAGATGAGAGGCGGGAACACCCTGGACAGGTCTCTTGTTCCTCACGGGTCACACACCGATACACTGTAAAAACACACTGTCCTTAAGCATGTAGCTCATCTTTTTGAATGAAATAACATAATTTC